GCGGTGTGCATTACACGCTTGAAATTTCCCATTAGCTTATTTTCCGAGGAGTGGACTAAGGAACCTTAAAAGACGGTGCTCACGATAGGGACAATGTTTTTACGACGTCAGTGGTCGAGAGAAGTATACACATCCTAAATAGAACTTTGACTTTTATGTCTCGTCGTTAATGCGTAGCGTACCACGTATTTTAACCTTTTCTATAGTGAATCCCTGGAGATTCAGGTGTATTTGAGCTTATCAAATTGGTGTTCTTAGCTCTACGCGCACATCATTTTGAATTGCATAAAGACAATTGACTTAATGTCTTTTTTCAATTCGTTTTCCACAGCATCTTTTGAGCTCAATGGGTACGATTCTGCAAGAATTTAGCAAGTTCAAGCGCAGTGAAGAAGCACAATTTAAAGCATTGGTGTGCATCGGTCTCAAGTAAGTCACTTCTTTCAACCTAGATACCTACGGCAGTGGTGCTAGGTTAATCTTTATCCTTTGTGTTTAGTTCGCATCGACTAGTTTCGTGGCTGAAGCTGGTTCTCCGAAGTCCAATTATTGTTCAGTACATGTACCACCCTTGGAGTTACGTTACCTCTACAGGTACCAATGAGGGTTGAAGTATTCCATAATGATACATGTGTAGCATTGTTTTGCATGTATTTCTGTCCGTTCTTTTTTTATAGGTTTCGATGATGCGTTAAAGTCTCTGAGCAAGCTTTCCTTGGTGGAATTTGATTTGCCTTTCGATGCAAACATTCGTCACCTACAGAGCATTAATGACGTCTTTTGATCGCTACCTGGCAGTCTTGTCTGTCCTTCAAGTTCTGCATCGATTCGATTTCGGGTCATTTAGGGTTCCTTTACGCGTGTTGTCTATGAGAAGAAAGTGGTGTTTTGCATTGCCTACTTTGTCAATCACACTTTTATGCGTTATTTTACTTCGATTTCTTCTCGTCATCACCTCACCTCTGCTATTGTCCTGACTACAAACCTATTTTGTGTGCGTGTTTGTGTGTAAAAGTATCAGATTTTGCAGAGTCCTTCCAATCATTCCGCAGGGTTTTGGTGCTCCGTTCCTTTCTATGTTCATACTTTCGCATTTACCTCAGTTCTATTTGTTACACAGAATTGGTGTGTCGTTCTTATCTCTGTTTATGAAATGCGGGGGTCTGCCTGAGTTTCGGGATACCGGGGACATCTTGTAGAGGTGAGAGGGGGCGCATCGTTGAGGGCTGGCATGTTTTCGCTTAGCCACTTTTGAATTTGCAGAGAGGAACGAGGTTTGGTGACGATAATGGTCCGCATGGAAAGTGGGTCATTGATGGACAATCTGTAAAATGTTCTGGATGGCGAGCGTTCTCCAGCATTTGTTACTTTCCTTGAACAAGAGGCAAAATTTACGTGGATGTATCGTCTTAAAATCGTTTTTTCAAAGGCTGAAATTTCGTAGTTTAATTGGATTCCGATTCCAAATATATTTAAGAAACTGTGGTAGTACATTAAAGTTTTTGTGCAAGGCAAATAGCATCTTTAACTTGACCTTTTACTTCTGGGTATTATAAAAATCTTGCGGAGTACCGTTGCTGCAGCAACATATGAGGCCGATTGCATCTAAAAAGAAGCTTCTAGATGTAAGTCATATTACTGACCACGATTAGATATTGTTTAGCCATTGCAGAAAAGGATACCAAAAAATCCGCGTTATGTTGACGTTCTTGCTACAGTGGATACCGGCGCGAGTCTTTCAAGTTATCTGCGACGATTAGATGAAGCTAGTCAAAGTACTCAAATGTTTCTACTCTCATGAAAGATTTTAAAATACGACCTGGTGAAATTTTTAAAAGAATGAAGCTGACAACATTTGTTCAACTACTTATTCAGGTGGCTGAAGTAAATGGAATTAATGAGCAAGGCAATAACCGTCCTCAGGAAAACGGTGATTTGTCTAGTAGCTTAAAATCCTTTTCCACTGAATTATAATTAGGCAAATCTCAAATTGCAAATAGTTGCTCGATATTAGACGAGCAACCTACCTCTCAAACAAAAGGAATTTATAACCTCGATTCGTAAGTTGCCATCGATTTTTGGATTTTCATATTTCGCGTAAGTATTTACATTAGTATCTTTGAGTCCCTATTTAATATACTTTGGTTATTCTGACACTGTACACTAATAATCATCGCAATAGTACGTATTCTATTCGTAGGCAAAGCCAATATTGAAAACGATATTATGCTATTGCATCGCTTACTCATGCCTTAAACTGGAGACTCTTTAATTTTACGTCTAAATTTTCAAGGGTTATTCACGGGATTGGTGAGTGTGACATAAATGAACGTAAATCTTCACTGAAGACAAATAATATCGCGGAACAGGAGAGTGATTGCCCTTATCTTCTTCTCGATGTTCGAGACAAGGATGACTTCAACCAATGTCACATCATTAAAGGTATATGATTAACTAAAAGAACCTTATTCGTTTATGCTTATAGCTGTTAACTATCCATATACATTGCTTTCGCGCTGCATCAACTTTGAGATCCGCGAGATGTTGGCCTTTCGGAACAAGCCTGGACACATAATAATTTGTTACGATGAAGATGAACGGCTTGCACCTTATGTTGCTACAGTGCTAACGGAGCGGGGTTACGAAAACATATTTGTCCTTTCTGGAGGCTTGAAGGTGAGTCATTTGGATGTGTGTATGAAACTCTGAGCTTCACGCTTAACTTTAGCTAATTGTTTTACAAGGTGGGCTGGAAGCTCTTTCCCAAGGGTCTTATTCTGGGAGATGCACCAGTAGCTCTAAGAAGTAAGCTAGGCAAGCGGCCACGATACGAGAAGAATATCCTACGCCTCTCGTCAGCTTCGATATCCAACTCAGCACCATCGATCAGTAGCGTCGTAGACGACGATGGAGCTTCCAGTGCTCTCGGTTCTACCATTGGTCGCCGTAGCACCATCTCGAGCGCCCGTCGAGCCGTTCGATATACTTTTGATACCTACGAGGCGGTTGGATCCAGAGGCACACCTAACGGAGGAGAGAATTTCTCAATGATCGACCTGGCTCACCTTTCCCTAGCTCTCGATGCCCTCTGTGCTAACTGTCAGTAACCATTATTATACCTTCTGTGCATAAAGAAAGCCTTAAAGATGGTAGCGTTGCTCCGAATAGATTCACACACGATAACGAAACCATTCAGACCTGACACAAATTGAGGTTTCTTTAAGTGATCATCACCAAAGGGTTGACTCCGACTCATTTAACTGTTGTCCTTTCTGAAATCAAAAAATGGTATTCCTCTTTCAGCTCGAGTAAACAAAACCTCAGGAACTAACACAGCTAACTCTGTACGTTCTCGAGCGTCCAGCGCCTCCACACTGAAGGGATTCAAATGATGGTGACTTTATACAAACCTTCCCTCTAGTTCCTTCAGAAATGTCTTGCTGAATTGCACTACTCAAAGACATTTTTTTGTTCACTTTCGTAGTTAAATGTACGACGTATGCTACACACCAATTTGTCTTTCAAGTTTGATGATTGGAGCTGGTGAATGGGCAGGTCGTTAACTGGAATAAAGTGGACGGAATATTACTGTTTGCCAGCACCTTAAACGCTTCTAGAGTCCAATTGTCATTAATCAGACCTCCAAAATGACAATCACAGTTACCTGGTTGAATAATAGAGAATAGTTGAATAATTTTTCAGTGAAAAGCAAAATGTATGAGTTGGTGATAAGTAATGGCACAAAATGAAGGTAAAAGGAGGCATCAATTTGGCGTGGGTAGGAAGGCAGAGATGAGGGCTCGCAGTTGATTGGAAGAGACGTGGATGGCTTGACTTATTGTCACAGAGTCTCCACCTACAGTGGCAGAATCGAAGTCGCGTGGAACTGTGATGCGTGCCAAAAGACGACGCGCATCTGGTGAGTCCTTCAAATCCAACTTATGCACCGTTCGTAGTGACGCAAAAGTGGCCAGATCAGTTTTTACTACGCCGCAACCCGGTTTTGATTTCACGTAAGCAAGAAGATCGTCTTGAGCCTGTACAAAGAACAGTTTTAGAGTAAATCGCAACTCTCAAGGGTACAAACAGGAAGGACCGTATATGCAGCAGTCGCTCCACCGACCCTGCTGAGAGAGGGTGTAAGAGGAAAGATTGATCATCTGGACGACGAGTTTTGATGACAGGTGGTCTCACGCATTCTACTGTTGTAAATAAAACCAGGCTTTAACAGTGTTGAGGATAAAAGCCCTTGTAAGGAAAACAAATTAACTAGTTTTATTAGCATTTTTAATGGTCAAAACTGCTTTGCAAAGGCAAGTCTTACCTCATATCGCTACCAACTGTTAGTAAATAACGAGATTCAGGTTACCATTGCCAACGAATGACACCATTTACACATGCAAGTGACTAACATAAAGGTGACAGATTAAGACGAGATTATTTGAAAGAGTTGGTGAAAGACTTCCACATTATCAAGCCACAAATGACGACACAAGAAAGCCTCGAACCTTTTGAAGTTCACGCTTAGCCTGCAGTAGGCGTTCCGATTGATGAGCCAGTTGCGCCTCGGCAGTTCTGCAGGCCCGATGAGGAGGGGTGTCATCAGAGTTGGAAAGTCGGACAAGTTGAGTGGTGGAGAGAACGTTATGGTACATTGAGACTGCGGATTTCACGCGACGGGTCAACTCCGTGAGGCTGGGCGCCTCAGTGTCCTTCGCTTCTACCTCCGCTTTTGCGGCCTTTTCGCCAGCAACTTTTTGATTGCGATAGGGCAATCGCAGTGGCAACAGCGACATCATCTCCTCCTGTCATAACATATAGAAGGAAAGTAGAAAGACCCAATTCAGTGCAAATTAATGAGAGCAAAAGCATCGGTGACATTTTCAACTTAACAGCAAAGAAAGCTTGAAGGGAAGTAAATGAAACCATTCATTAGAAGGAAATGAATGGAAAGCGGTGGTGCAGCGATGACCAAAATAGGAAGTCACATGAAAAACAAACCAAAACGTAAACGCTAAAGCAATGGCATTGGAACAATGGGTTCTGACAGCAATGATCAAGAAGTGACAGGAGGCTTGACTGCTATTATGGATGATGATATGACGACTGAAACCTAGAGAAACTGCCTCTTCTCAAAATGGGGCGCATTGATTGAGGGATGATGATGGGAATGAAAAACATACATGCAATTTGCGACCACGTAATTTCATGTTCTCCGACGTTAA